GACCAGAAGCGTCTGGCGGAGCAGGTCGTGCCTATTCAACACAATTATATTAAAATAGACCACAACTCTACCTGAACGATTGCTTTACTATAAAAGCCGGCATTTTGAGTTCTCTGCACAACTAACAGGTGGCGAATCAGCTTTGGGGTGTCCAAATATCTTACTTTTAAGGAATCTGGTGTTTGTTTATGACAGTTAGCCGATCATTTATGACCTACAGCATAGACAAACTGAAATCCTCGAAGACACAACCTGTCCCTCTTGCAGGGTGGAGTTGGTGTGCGGAGAGTAGAAGAGTTATTCCAAATGTGACTTATTTATGTCCACTTTTTGCTCAATACCTTCTCGTATTATCACCCAAAAGAATTCATCAAGTCTCTTGGCTATTTAAAGCCTCCAGAAAGTAAGATAACATCATCTCAAGTGAGAACAATGGGCCATTTCAAGCTGTGGAGGAAAGAAAATTTTCCAGACATTTTAATCTGATAGAGGAAGTATTTGTCAACAATAGAGGCGGATGCTCCCATTCGTGGCCACAAAAACCTTCAAATCAAGCCAAATAAAATGCCACCATCACTAAAGTTGTCATGTGGTTCAAATTCTACCCCTTTTTTTTACATCCTTCAGTGAGAATGAAAGCGAAAATCTCTTCCCCAAACACGTTGATGTTTGGCGCCAAGGCAAGCAGGCAGGGAGGATTGAGGGAAGGTCTACGAGGCTTCAAAACTGCAGTTGTGGGTGGTCTCGTGCCTCACCTCTTAAACAACAGCTCCCTCTCTCAAGCAACACCCGAAACGCCATAGAAATGAGGTGAACTCGACTATCCGTGCGCCTCCGACTGTCGGCGCGGGCATCGAATGCCCCGTCTTCCCAAACGCATGAGGTCGGTGCAGTCATGGCGCCACGTGCATTGTGTGTACTTTATTTTCAAAAGTCACAGAACCAATTAGATAAATAAATTTCTTGCACAATGCAGAGGTGAGTGGTGAGGCTAGACTGCAACACTCAAATCTTTAGACTGCTTACCCCCGCGAGAAGACATTTTTCCGCTACATTTTGCATATTTCATTATTTCACCCTTCAAGTAGCAAAATGTACGTCCTGGTGGAACAAAACTAACCAGTAGAAAGAAATGAGAATAAAGAATTACAGAATCGTCAGCTCCTCGCGGAGTGGGAGACGATTAGGATCAATCCAGAGAAACTAAGATTCTGTAAGTTCTTCGCTGTCTTGGGTCACTTTTTGCCGTCCTTGTGAGATGCTTAGACGTGATGCAGTTTGGAGATATGAAGTGGGCATTTTTCAAGTGAAAAGTAATTTTTAATCACTCTCTAATTAAGGATTTGTTAAGAATGCGTAAAGAGCGCTGTCTGTTATTAGCCCGCCAGAAAGTGGGAATAAGTGGTTAATTAAAAGGCACCACAATGCACTCCAGCCTCCGCCTTTCTACTTAAGTCACCTATTTGGTGTTGTAAATAATGTCGGTCCCCCGTGGTTGTTTAGACAGCCCTCTTGAATGTCCCCATGGAGGCAGACAATAGTTCACCATGGCTGATTTAAAAGTCTGGGTCTGAGGTGTCGGAAGGGCTTAGAGAGTACTCGAAATGATTCGTCCCAAAAATCGTTTGTTCTGCACTGTGTGGATGACATGCGATTCACTCACTAGTGAGACTGTTTCCGCTCCATAGTTTTGATGCAATTTTTGTTACCACCTTTCAACTTATGATTTCGGTGAAGTTAGTGGACTGGAAGGAAAGATTTCCTTCCAAAATTTTACCAGTTCAGAAGGGAACATTAAAGTTGCATTAGTACATGCTGAATTTGACGGTTCTGTGAGTGCACGAGGTCCACTCCACTCTACCACCATTTCTAAAATATTTGGATCGACTTACTCACCTCTTCTCCATCACACTACTGAAAATAGTGATTTAACCATTTGTGAGTAGTATGTGCGCATTTGGTGTTAAAACGAGGATCAGGTATGCAGTAGTTTACACGTGGCTAGAGTTAACTGCTTCAAATGCTGTTGAGCCTACATAAGTGGCATAGATGCATTGGATAGTGACAGATTCTCTGTTCGAAAGAGTGGATTTACCTTTAGCACTGACTAGAGAAAAAATTTGGCGCGTTATAGAGTTTCCGGTTCTTTCTATTGACGAAGAATCCCTATAAAGAGCTGCAAATGTAAGGGGCTGTCGACATAGTCCAGAGTCAGAACGAAGAATTAAGTGACTACACAGCTCGAATACCATCGATTCCGCTGCTCCACAAAGACAGTCTTCTGCTCTAAGTCACCAAGTTTGCGTCCACATGAGAGATTGCATGATAGCAACTTCACTGGGGTAAAAGAATGGTGCTGGCCTTCCCTACGCGGCCTTCCATGCGTTCACCCAATCAGTAAGTAGGAAGAGGAGATAACGTATGTTACTTGATTGACATCTTCACGTCCGTACGCCGATATATCTGCAAATAGCTCCTCCTGATGGCTCAGGTCTCCACGTCCACGTCATCTGCTGCTGTCCTGCCATTCTCAAATCCACCTGTTGGGAGGCCTCACAACGCTTTCCATTCTTTCATCATTCAACGACAGTGCCCCTTATGGTTACCCTCTCTCACTTTCTCTTCCTGCTACCATCGGTGCAGCGCTTCAACACCCTCCTGTCAGAAAATGGATAGCCAACGTACTGAAGGGTTGGTGGAGCTGTTGTTATGTTCCGAGGAGGCATTCAATCCAATAGAATAGCGAGAATGGAACTTCAATTGTCTGCCAAACCAAAGCATGGAGTTAACCAAATGGTCCGAGTAGCATGATGCATGTTAAAATGGTGAGTAACAGAGCAACCGCAATCCAATTTCCACTGTAAAGAGCTTAACATCCTTCACACTCCACCGTTTCATCTTGTTAATTTTACTTTTTTTATTGAACTTTCTTCATTATAACACCTTTTTTACAGTAGAAAAAACGAAGAAAATGTGGATTAATAGCACTGGAAAACAAGAAACCTCGCCGAGACTTTAAGACCTCCAAGTGACAAAATGGCGCCACCATTCCCACCTCACAGCTGTAATCGCTGATGGATCTGTTCAACACCCCAAAAAAGTACATTCAACGTTTATTTATTGCCTTCTAATGAAAGGAATCCCCTCCCCTTTTATGATCTACTTTTACCTTTGAAGGTAATAATTTTATTGTTTCAAATAAATATTTGATTGTGGTGGTAATAACCTCCGAAGCAGTCACGCTTACAGGAAATAAAATTCTACTCAAGTACTTGCCTGCATGTGAGATTGTGAAATGGCAATTTCACACACAAAAAGACCCAACAACAATAACTACATCAACAACACCTTAGGCGCTGAGGGCGGTATCACTTAAAGGCGGAAACAATAGCAGTCGTCTTTAAAAAGACCAAAGGTTTTCCGACGAAGTGCTTAGCATACGCAGAGATGTTCATCGCCTTCCTCTGTCAAAAATTAACAGTAACCTACTAAGGGAATACGAATTTCTAGGGAACAGGCGGTAAAAATTTGATTAAATGGCAAGCGAATGCTAATTAATGTCCCCTTTTAATGCTCCCCACCGGTGTTAAAAGCAACTCGACACGGTGATGAAGTTGGAAGAGTAAAATCCCGTCTCTCTCGATTGATCCACTCCAGGCGGTGAGCAAAGCGGACCAACATCAGATGCCAAAAAAAAATTGTACAGAATGCTCAGAGAATGAATTAATTATTGTCTCGAAGTTCATGTCCGCACCCACCAGTCAAGGGAGCATATCTCTGTTATCACCATCCCACCGACCGACCGACCGACCGACCGACTGACTGACCGATAAACTCCCACCCATCCACCTGGTCTCATCTCACCCGCCTCCAATTCTCCCCTCTCCCCCCACCTCCTCTCCCCATCCTCCTCCTCCTCCTCCTCCTTCTAGTTCTTCCTCTGGGTGTGAATATTTAATCGTTGTGAGGGCCTGGCTAACCAGACTACAGTTAAATAACAACGGCACTAGCAGCAGCAACAGCAGCAGCAGAAGCGGAAGCAACAGGAACCAGTTCCAGATCTCGGCGCTTTGAATTTTTTATACTGGCAAGGGAATGCACTAATGATTTTACAGCCCATGGGAGAGCAAGGGATTTGACAGCGATTAAATTGAACTTCTTTTCATAGTTTCTTTCCCATACTTCAGTGAAGAAGGGTGACAGTGTAGGTTGATAGGCATGTGATTCCTTAGAGAGTGATGCCATTGGTAGCATTGTTGCGAAAAATGGGCAGATAGACAAAAGAAGATTGTGAGATGCACGAAAATAACGTCAGTCTGTTCCCTTGATACCTTCATTCATCCATATCCTACGACCTTATGAAATAAAAGCAGTGAAGTGGATCGTGAGTCGTTCTGTCGATAGAACTATGCACAAACTGGATGCGATTGGCGCTTCTGTCAATAGAAGGTCATAAATACACCCCAAAAATTTTATTTATTTTGGTAGGAGTGTGGCGGTTAGCAAGACTTTTAACTCCGACATAATTGGAGATGGGGGTTGGGGCAATGAAAATTGTGCATATCTGTCAATCACCTGTCAGTCGTAAAACTTCAGCTCAAGCATCAAGATTCAACTTTATCACCACAGAGGCATTCACCGACACAATTAACACTGCAGTAGTGCTAATGTAGACCAAGAAAAGGAAAGAAAAGCCTCCTCACATTCTTAGTTAATCTTTAATGTGGTAGTTTGAAGGTGACAGAGGAGAAGCAGAAAGACACTCGTCTGTGACATTTAACTGACTGCACTGCTCAACGAAGTCATGAGCGGGACAAGTTCATCGTAACTAAAAAGAGGTAACAATTCGCCTAGAAGCAAAGCACTTTCATAGCGGCATCAGATGTAAAATTTAATTGCCAACTACAATCTAAGTCAGTAGAAATTTATCGTGATCGAGTCTAGAAGGCTGAACACGCAATTACTTGAAGAGCTGAGGCTTAGGAATCCTTAGAATGGATCATTCTACTACTCAGGACTTTTATTAACGCTAAATATCTCATTTGTCCTGAAATTCTAGGCCTGAAACCATATAGAAGCCCAACATGTTCGCGACTGAAAGAGTTGACTCCAGTAGGACATCCATGATCAGGACTGAGCAGTCTGGAGGTGTCAGTGAGGCGATTGGCTTGATCGTCCACAGCAATCAGGCTTTCCACCAGGCCCTAAATTTGCCTCACTCTTTGAGGGGAATAAATGACAGTTAGATAAGATTCTAGTGGTACTTTCGACTTCCCTCCTCTGTCACATGATATTGTACTAGAAGTCACCCTCATCTATGAGTTTCTGTAGGGTGTAAGCGTGGGTGAATATAACGCACTGCTCCATAGAAGTGACTACTACAGCTGCGAATATGGACTCTGCTGGACTAAGCCAGGATGGGCTGGTTTCATTCAGTCTGGTCTGGTCGGGTCCGGTCTGTCTGGGTTGCACTAAGCAACCCGACTGGGTCACGCAAGGTGGACAAATGGGCTAAACCTCCCACTTTCGGGTGGGTGGAGGCCCGCATTAGCCTATTATACCTCCAGTGAAAGCGAATTGTTTTGCATTCCCCCCACAGTCCAGCTCCCCGGTGTCCAAGCCTTGAAGGTACTTACTTAGATAGAAGAACATAATTACGACTATTGTGCAATCAGTTTAGTCTTTCCAAAGGGTCAGCATCGTAGAACCGGTGGCTAGTGAAAAATGTGCCATTACAATCCCTCCTTGTGCCATGAAGTGCCTTGACAACTCTCTCGATTGAGATCTAAAGAGTGTGCAAAATTTGGTTCAGTAGTAGAGGAATGAAAAGTAAAGCTGACCACAACGTTTAAAATGGGGTTTTAATGAGTGACCGTCGCTATGAGACAACCGCCCGTATTTTAAAATCTTTCTCGTCACGTCATTAGTGCATAAAGATTTATTTGTTACTCACTTCGGTCAGAATCGCCACTAAATGGGTCATAAAACTGGCTGTCCTATTGTCCATCCGGGTGATTTTGGAGGTGTCAAATCTCCTCACTGACTTTTAATCGGTTTTATTTTCCAGGACAACTTTACTTGTTCCATTCCGAACACCGCATAAAGCCCTCTGACTTTCGACGAAAATGAGACTTTTTGGTTCCTTAGAGGAGATCTATCAACACAGCCACCAAGTTGGGGTTTGATTCATTCGTGAGGACTTTATTGAGATGCAGTTTGGGCAGCCGACTTCATTATAAGTGGCCTGAAAGACTGATGGACCTAGTAAGTTGATTTGAAGCGGATCACGTCAGACTCCGTTGTTCCCAAGGCGATAAAAGCCACTGGAGAAAACATCGCCTGACTTTAAATTGAGAAAACAAAAGCACTCGAGGAGACGCTGACAGATCTCGGCAGATTGTTGGCCTCACAATCTGACCCAACCACTAATCACGTAGATAAAGTAATCTCCGTAGACATTGTCAGAGGAGGTCGATGGCGTAGCTTCCCAACTTTGGCACAAAAAATTTCTCAGAGAAAATGTTTTTCAAAAGACCAAACAATTAGGATGATGACTTTGCCATGATGGTGTCGGATTATCTCGTCCCCTCAACAGAAAAAGTCTGTCTACAATGGAAGTATCATCTTCCATAGATAAAGGAAAGGAGTTAAAGACAAGAAAGCAAACGGGATAAATTACTCAACTAGGCTAACTCCATTGCCTAAGTCAAACTAATCATCAACTACTGGCGTCGAATGAAATTACTGCTTCGCCTCCGTCTTCGTTGGCGCTGAGTTTTGCCTAATTTGGACACAAATTTATGCTTTCAAGGAAAGCAGTACGTCAACAGACTGAAAGCATAGCATTAATTTTTCATTTGCTAAAATCATGATGCCGAGAGATGTTAATTTCCTAGTCCGCATAATCAAAGGGATGGAATTTTTTTGGAAAAGCACATCGAGCCTTTCCATTCTCCTCCTCAATTTTGTGATCGAAGCCTCGGAGAAACCGTTCCATCTCTCTCCTGTCCGGACGGCAGCATTCATTACGTACCTTCAAGTGTGTCCAACTGGCAAGTATCGGCGCTCCATTGCCGATCACAAAAAAGAACTTTTTTACGAAAGTTTAGTTTATTAACGTCAATCCCTAACATATTTATGACTGGAGAACAGCATAGCTCATTGCTGCTACCGTATCCCAGCCACACCCACCTGTAAGTGGCGGATTCGGTCTAATGCCTACTTACTGAATGCGCGTACGCCTTGGACGAGTTGGTGCATATCAGACCAGGCGATGCCAGCCTAGTCCATTCTGTCCGGTGTGTGAGGCGATGACAGTTTCAGCGACTGCACTAACGCAGTTTCCTGCCGTTGAATGTGTTTCATCCACCTTCCATTTCTGGCGCCCCACCAAGACGTCAAATCGTAGTCTCCTTCCAGGTAGTGGTCTAAGATGCAAAGACTGTCCCAAAATGTTAGGATTAGTGTCTAGATTTCAGTTCACTGCTGAGGTGAATCTGTCCAAAAACAACACCTTCTGTTGCCAAGACACCCGAGTCTAGAGTACAAAATAAGTGCTAAAATGTCCGAATTAGCTTTGATTTCAAAGTAACCATTTTTTATGACAATTTATGGTAGTCATGACTCACTGAAAGCTCACCCGAGTGACTGGAGCATAGAAGGAAGGAAGAATCCACCCTCTTCACCGACTGATGCGCCAACCTCAAGTAGAACGGTTAATCTGTCGCCTCCTCACTTTATAGCACAGGTGAGTGATGATTTTATTATTTTCAAATAGAGGATCCAATTTTGCATTTTATTTATAATTGTTCGAAGTTTTAGAAAAAAAATTAAGGCACTCTTTGATGTCCAGTCGGCTTTTAGTAGCTGCATGCGTGCTTAATATTGCATAATACGTATGCGAGTTAATAAAACTCCACTCTTCGGCACTTTTTTGAAACAAGAACTAAAAGAAAAGTATTTTTAAATAAATATTTTGTTAATTGAAGTTTAAGATGCATTAAATTGCCTTAAAAAAATTGGTCTAACTCACTTGAATAAGGCGAATGTATGCAAGACTTTGTGACTTTTAAAACTAGCAGTTTCGGCAAGGGGGAGGGGAGCGGTGGATGACCTGTAGGTCGGGTCAGCTGGTCTCAGATCTTCTACAAGCCAATAGCACCCATTTTGACAGAGCCTTTTGTCCTCTTTCGTCGTCAGGTCGGTCTCGGGGAACCTCCCGCAAAGTTGCCAACTTCATACAATTTTATTAGCCCCGAATTGAGGCTTCCAGTTAGCAGTGAAGGCAGTCACTGAGTAATTTCCTCCATTCTCACAGTTATCACATTCTCCACGTTTCTATTAGAGCCAACTTTATCGTCACGTTGAGCACGTAAATGGAGATGAATGTGAGCTCACGGTTTATCCCTAGCCCATTAAAAGGCAGATGACAGTACGCTATTACTCTGCTATAATATATAATCTTTTTGTAGCCATTTCCACCTCAGAGTGACAAATCTCATAGGGAGAATGGCTGGAACATAGGCAGAATGTCGGACACAGAATTAAATTGCATACAAGGGTGGAAAAGGACCAAATAGTGCCTCTCCTCCTCCTCCTCCTTTTCCACCAACACCTTCTCTTTCCGCCTGCGGGGCCTCCAGTAAAATTATATACAGGAAACTTAGAAAATCTCCTTGTTTGGAAACGGTAAGCCCCGTAAAGTAATCGTTTGCCTTGTGATGAGTCCCTTCTGAGAGGAGTGGGGGGTTTAGGCCACCGTTTTGTGGACCGCAATAAAGGTGAAGATCAAGAGCCCAACACTCACAACTTCTGTCAATCACTAAAGCGTTTATTTGACCGTTGAGTCCTGTCATGCAAAAAATTTGACATCAAGTTGGGAAACTGTCATGCCAAACGCAAATTTTCCTCTCTTTATTACTGCAATGTTGGTATTGGATGGCATCGAGCGCACATGTATCGCCCACACAAACTCCAGTCTCAAGTTTTACACAAGTGGGACTGAATTTTGCTTACCAACACTTTCTTTGTTGTGTCTAAAGAAGCATGCAAGAAGTGACTGAATCACTTGTCACATTCATTCCTCCGACGGCTCCACTTGAGCAGGCAACTTACTCCGAGATGCGATTTAAACAGACACTAAAATTTGCGTCTAAAAGTTGCCCCGTTCTACACTTTAATCAAAAATTGTGAAAGATCAATTTAAAAAAAAACAACCCATCTTGGAAGAAAAAGACCGTCAGCAG